GGAAAGGGTGGAGAGAGGGAGGGGGCGGGAGAGAGGGAGTGGACGGCGGGATCGCTTGCGTGGGGATGAAGCGGGGATAGCGGGGGTAGAATTAAAGGTCGAACTTTAGCGACCCTAATGCGAGACGGGGACGGCGCGAGGGGGGCGGCCGCTGATGAGGCGCGGGGGGCTGGATACAGCGAGCGGGCGCGCGCGCTCCAGCGACTCTCTGCCACCACCCGGCCGCCGCTGCTCTCCCTCTTGGCAGTTACACACCCTACTCCCCCCTCCCCCTACTTCCGGCTACCCCCCAGTTCCCAGCTCACGCGACAGCGCGTCCACACCACTCGTGTTCGCAATTACTTACACTTTTGCCATTTTTCCTCCCTAAAGCCCCCCCCCTCCCCCCTCCTCGCGGTCTCCTATATAAGCCGCGCGCGCCACTTGCAGCGCGAGGAGGGCGGGTGTCACAAGTGATTAGAGCCGCGACCTTGACCGTGACCTTGACCCACAGCTCGCAGTAATTACAGCGCGAGTGAGTGCGCTCGATAAGAGTGACGGCCGCCCCGCCCGGAGGCATCGTGACCGTATAGGAGGGCGCAACGCAAAGAGCGCGTTGGGATTTTTCTTTTTCTTTTTTGAATATTTTTTTTGGGCCAGTGTATGTGTGTTGTTAAAGTCTTTTTGCTGTCTACTATTTTATGGCGCGGGAACCGCGCACACATGTCGGAGAGGCTCGCGCGCGCGAAACAACAGCAGGGATGCACGAGAAGGAGCCTGAGGTTGGCAGCGACGGGAGCGCATAGCAGGGGCGGCGGGGGCCGCCCGAGAGGTCGACGACTCAAACTTTAGAAGGGTACATACAGGAGTACACTCGCCGTTCACTCGGCGTACAATAGGAGTACACTAGGAGTACACTAGAAGTACATCCGGTTACATCAAGTGTACACCCGGAGTACGCGGAGTGGAGTAGTGTTGTCAGCCCGGGACGCAGGAGTAACCTAGTAGGCACCGCGGGGCACACGGCCCACGAGTGCGCGGCTTTGTGGCGCCTAATAGCGCCTCGGCGCAGTGCGGGCACCGGGCTAATCTTCAACGCTAACCTCGTCATCGGAACGGCTGTGGTATAAATATAAACCCGCCACGAGCGGAAGTACCACGCGGCAGGGCGCACCCAGGGCGGGGCGGGGAGGACCGTGCCGCAGGGCGGGCTGCAGACGGCGCCGGCCTGGTGGGCGGGCACCGGGGTCTCTTACGCCACGGCCACGCCCTACAGGCTACCCTTTTTGGGGGGGCGAAAGGCCGCAAGTGCATTTCACGGCGATTGAAAATGATTTCGCAGCGGCCGAAACCAGGGAGCCAGTTATTCATGAGATTGGCGTCGATCCTGACATCCGGGGGGCACCTCACTCACTTCCGGCAGCCCCATCGCCGATGTGTAAGGGCGTCTTGTCGTTCGTCAAGGCGGAGGCGCGCGGCTTTTGAAGGGAATATTACTTGGCAAGTTTATGTAAATTTGCGAGCGACCGCACGGGGAGCGAAACTTTCGGTCATTCGCAGTGCGGCGACGCAGGAAGGGGGGGGGGGAGTGGAGCAGAGCCTTAACAAAAGATGATAACTCGAGGGGGTGGAAGTAAAAGGCGAGAGGTGCAGCGGCGCCGGCTCCAAAAGAGTTCATAATGGGTTTGTATTCCATACAAATCTCTGTCCCGACTCGACCGGCGCCGAGAGACCACCGCCCTCTCAGAGCATATTATGGTAATACCTTTCAAGATGAGAGGTCGCGGGGAGGGTCGGGAGGGGAGGAGCGGTGTATCACAGCGTTTAGCGAAGACGAGCCGTCCTGCTCACTCACCCCTGGCCCGTGACTTGGTCAGCAGCTTCTGCACTATCTCGTCGTAGGCCTTGTCGCCGGCCACGCCAGAATCCTTGACCAGCTTCTCCTTGACGGCGATGCACACGTTCCGCTCCTTGAGCAGGTCCTCCAGCTCCTCAAACGCCTGCGGGAAAAGAAGCGCATGAGAGCCACATGAAGCAGAAATATTTCACACATACAACGCTGCAGGGAGGGTAGCATACGCAGTGAGAGGAGAGCGTGGGAAATCAGACCGAAATGTTATAAATGTGCCTCGACGGCGTGTTTTGAGGGCGGGCGCGTCCCTCCCGACCCAACACCGTCGAGTTCCCCGCAATGGGGTGGCGAATGGCCACTGCGTCTGAGAATCGACTGCCGGGCTAGTCCGTCCGGTCCATTTCTGGGAAGGCGGGCTCGGGAAGCAGGGCCTGGCGAGGCGTGGCACCCGTCGGGAATATATCGACTCTTCCCGAGTCTTTCCTCTCTTTCGTTTCTCCTCCGGCTGAATCGGTAAGTTGCGCGCAAATTTACGCCCACCCCCGCATTCCCAGAACCCACCACCACGACCAACACCTCGCATTTCAATAGGCGGCAACGGCTTAAAAACGCAGCCGTGCGGGGTGCGGGTGAGCGGTCCAGTTCAGCCGCGGGCGGCCGAGGGCGGCCGGGCGCGTCCACATGCAGACCGCGCACATGCCTTATGTATGAGCTTCAATCGGATTCGTTGCGGCGCGGCGGGCGCGGCTGGGGGCCGCCACCCCACCCCAGGCACCTGCACGGCCCGGCTCGGGATCGGGCCTGGGCGGGGTGGAGATTTGAGATCCGGTGTGAGAGGTGTGGGCCGATACCGGTTAAAGATACGCGGTACACCTGTTTCAGAACAGATGCCACCGTGTTGCAGCAGCTCTGCCACAAGTTACGCTCACGTGGAAATTTTGATGTGCCATGGAATTGCAATTCGAATTTTTAATTTCAGTTGTTGTTAACTTACGATTATATTTTTCGCAGTGTTAAGGATGTCAAGGGTCACTATTTGAGAAAATGGGAAGCCCATGATATTTTTTACCCCAGTGTACAATCACCACGAGGTGCCTCTGAACACTCCAATGGTGATTGGGAACCTCACACGGGGACTCTTACTATTTGTGCCCCTCCGAGGGTAGCGGTACCTGAACGGTCGCTGACGCTGTGAGGTGCGATGATGGCAGCGGGCCACAAAGCCAGCAGAGCGGCCACCCTGCGGCAGGCTGCGGCGGGGCGACAACGACCGGCCGGACCCGGCCGAAAGGACAGTCCGGCTCACCGCACCATTCTGTTGCAGAACCGCCACCACCCCCACCGCCTCGCAGAGAGGATGGCACACCAAGTCCCCCAAGCCCGACTCTCGGTTACACTGCGCGGCGAGGGGGTGGTCGTGGGGCTTAAGAAATTGGGGGTTAAATGAGGGGG